TATAATTCTTAGTGGATAGTAGTATATAATAATGTTGTAATTATTATATAACAATATAGTTTTTTATTATAGAAGAAAGTCCTCTTCGTTTGAGAGGAAATAATTTTATTCTAAAAAAACGAATATTATATTTTTAGTATATATAGGATATATAGTATAGTTATTTTAGTACAGTTAAACATAGTTTTTGATATATTACAGTAAAGCGTATAGTATTAGTTTTAGTATACAGTCCCTCTTCGTTTAAGAGGAATGGATTTTATTCTAAAAAACGATTATTTTTTTTAGTGTAGGTAGTATAATTCTTAATGGATAATAGTATAGTATGCTTTTGTTCTTAGTGTATAATAATGGAGTTTTTCATTATAAAAAAAAGTCCTCTTCGATTGAGAGGAATGAATTTTGTTATAAAAAACGATTATTCATTTTAGTATAGATATAGTATGTATAATTCTTAGTAAATAATAGTATATAATAATGTAGTTTTTTAATATAGAATTTAGTCCTCTTCGTTTGAGAGGAATTAATTATATTCTATAAAAACGAATATTATTTTTAGTATATAGGATATATAGTAAAGTTATTTTAGTACAGTTAAACATAGTTTTTGATATATTACAGTAAAGCGTATAGTTTAAGTTTTAGTATACAGTTCCTCTTCGTTTGAGAGGAATGGGTTTTATTCTAAAAAATGATATAGATAGTATAATTCTTAATAATAGTACAGAATGCTTTTGTTCTTAGTGTATAATAATGAAGTTTTTTATTATAAACAATAATCCTCTTCGATTGAGAGGAATGAATTTTGTTATAATAAACGATTATTCATTTTGGATATAGTAGATATAGTATAATTCTTAGTGGACAGTAGTACATAATAATGTAGTAATTAGTATATAATAATGTAGTTTTTTAATATAGAAGTTAGTCCTCTTCGTTTGAGAGGAATTAATTTTATTCTAAAAAAACGAATATTATTTTTAGTATATATAGGATATATAGTATAGTTATTTTAGTACAGTTAAACATAGTTTTTGGTACATTATAGTAAAGCGTATAGTATAAGTTTTAGTATACAGTTCCTCTTCGTTTGAGAGGAAAAAATTTTATTCTAAAAATTGATTATTTTTTTTAGTATATAGGTAGTATAATTCTTAATGGATAATAGTACAGTATGCTTTTGTTCTTAGTGTATAATAATGTAGTTTTTTATTATAAACTATAATCCTCTTCGATTGAGAGGAATGAATTTTGTTATAAAAAACGATTATTCTTTTTAGTCTAAATATAGTATAATTCTTAGTGGATAGTAGTATATAATAATATAGTAATTAGTATATAATAATGTAGTTTTTTTAATATAGAAGTTAGTCCTCTTTATTTGAGAGGAATTTTATTTTTAGCATAAAGTACACAGTAGTTAATTTATTAGTACATAGTATATTACAGTTTTTAGTATACTATTTGCATAGTTTTTAGTATATTACAATTAAGTTTAATAAAGATTTTAAGTATAGCGAAGGATAGTCCTCTTCTTTTGAGAGGAATAAATTTTATTATAAAAATCGATTACTATTATTAGTACAGAGTCTAGTACAATTATTTAGTAAAGTATTTTTTTTTATTTTTAGTTCAGAATAGTATATAGTTTTTTTTTTTGTTTGTTTAGAAGACAGTCCTCTTCATTTGAGAGGAAACAATTAATTTTAATATTTTAATTATAAAAAAGAGAAATACAATTTTTTTATATATGTAGACATGTTAGTTAGTATATTAGTATAACCATATAGTTTTTATAATATTCTAGGTTTTAGAGTATAGAAAATAATCCTCTTCATTTGAGAGGAATAAATTTTTTTGTTAAGAGAGGAAACTCATTTTTATAGTATACAACACAAGTATAATTATTTAGTAGATTATAATATAGTTCTTTAGTATATATAAAAAGACTTTACTCTCAATTTGAGAGGAAAAAAAATGGAAATCCTCTCAAACGAAGAGTATTATATATATATACACGTTTAAATATAAATATTTAGTGATAAATTATTATAAAAAATAACAATAAAAATGAAAAATTATGATATTAAAAATAATAATAATAATAATAATAATAATAATAATAATAATAATAATAATAATATTAATAATTTTGCGAAAAAGTGATGACGTCTGTAATAAATAATGAACTGATGAGTGCTACCGGTCTTTGCGGCTAATATCTTTTGAACTTAACTTTTCGATCGCCGAAGAAATGACTCGGCAAAATCTCGAATCTTGTTTATATATATATATATATATATATATTATACCTGTATATATTATATTTTTAAAAAATCCGCCCTGAGAAAATCTCATTCTGACAAGAATGAAAATTCCATATCGTTTTAACAAAAAAAAGAAAAAAAAAACAAAAAAGAAAAAAAAATTTTGAATACAAAGTTAATTCTAAGACTTCCTGTATATGTAAAAAATCATAGTAAAAGAAAAAAAAATCTCAAATTAAAAGGAATATACTTTACTTCTTAATTTCCTTTTTTTGTTCCTCTTAAAACGAGAATATTTCATAACATTTTTTTTTCTTCATTCTAGAGAGGATATTGAAATAATATTTATAATTAAAAAAAAAATTTTTTTTTTTTAAAGTTACCTCTTTTTTTAAAATGAAATTTATTAATTCCTCTATAAATGAGAATATTCTTTTAATCAGTAAAAAAAAGACAGTTGTCTGCATATTAAAATAAATTTGCAAAAATTATAATTTCAGTGTTTTTTTGTAAATTTTTTGTGTTGTATTTGCAAAAATAAAAAAAAATTAAAATCCTCTTAATTTGAGAGGAATATTATTGTGTAAAAATTAAAAAAAAATTATAATTTCAATGTGATGCAAATTTCTTTTTTTTATATTATATTATTAAAAATTGTAATTTTTAATAAATTAAATTTTTTTTTTTAGATAAAAAAAATACCTCTTAATTTGAGAGGAATATTCTTGTGATTCGTAGTAAAAATAAAAAAAAAAAATAATAATTTTAATATTTTTGCAAATTTATTTTTTTATATCATATTTATGAAAAATTGTAATTTTTTAAAGAGAATTAGATTTAAAAAATCCTCTTAATTTGAGAGGAAATATATACTTTTTAGTAAAAAAAAAAAAAAAAAAATCGGAAAAATGAAAGTTTTTTAAAATTCATTTTTGTTTTAATTTAAACGAAAAGTCTCATTAATTTGACAAAAATAATTAGAAGAAAGAAAAATCCTCTTAATTTGAGAGGAAATAATACTTTTTTTTTGTATATTATAAAAAAAATTCGTTAATTTTCTATGTTTAGTGTTTTTTGAAAATTTTTTTTTCTTTTATTTCAAAAAACAAATTTTAACAAAAATTAGTTAAAATCCTCTTAATTGAAGAGGAAATTTTTAGTTTTTAATTTTCTTAAAATAATGATTTACAGAATCAATTGACTTATGTCGCGTATAATAATAATAATAATAATAATAATAATAATAATAATAATAATAATAATAATATTTGACTTCTTTGCTGAAAAAAAAACCGAAGGGCAATAAAATAAAAAAAGAGAAAATTTTGTGGTGAAAAAAAAAAATTTCAAAATTCACTATTTAATTTATATGCAGCTACCGGTTTTTTTTTTTTCTCTCTCTCTCTCTCTCTCTCTTCTCTGTGGAAAAACTAAAATTTTATAACTTTCCCAATATAAAATTTACAAGACCTTGCGGGTTTTTCTCTTTCGTTTTGCTGGTGAACGTAGAAAAGAAATTTTTGCCCCTGTGACCCAGTAATGGGTCCAAATTGTGTTGTGCGCATTCATTGTTCAGTGATTTTCAGCAAAAATTTTTGAATTATGACACAAAAATTTTTTTTCCAAATTTTTCTTTTTTTTTTTTTTTTTTTTGTCTACGTATACACTAAATATTATATACAAAATGATTTTTAAGATAAAAAAATTTTTATGATAAAATAATTCAAAAAAAAAAAAAATCTTGTTTTATTTTTTAAAAAATTCCAAAAAAAAAAATACTTTTTAAATTAAAATTTAAACAAAAATAAATTTCAAAAAAAAATATATATATTTAACTAACTATGTATTTAAACAAAAATTTAATAATAATAATAATAATAATAATAATAAAATTTTATTTAAAAAAAAAATTTATTTTATTATTTTTTAAAAAATTAAAAAAAAAATTTGTTAAATAAAATTTAAACAAAATTGAATTTCAAATATATATATATATATATATTTAGCTAAGTATTTAAAGAAAAATTTGAATAATAATAATAATAATAATAATAAAAAAATTTTAAATAAAAAATTTTAGTTAAAAAAATTTATTTTATTATTATTTTCTCTCTCTCTCTCTCTTTCTCAGTGTGAAAAATAAAAAATGGAATTTGATGGAGACAAAAACGAAATTCTAAGGGGCCCATGGGGTACATTGTCAAAAATTGTTCCTTCTCAGAATGAGAAGGACGTCATGGCTGACCTAATTTATTTTCAGTGACCTTGAGAGTCTTGAAAAATGTTGTTAGAGAATTTTTCCATTTTTCTGAATTTAACATTCATTACATTCTTGAAATGCCAAAAGATTTTTTTTTTTCATTTTCTTTGATTTTTACAACCAAAAAAAAGTCGATTTTTCAAAAAGCGAAAAAAAAAAATTGTTAATTAATAATTATTTTTCTTCAATTTTATTTTTTAAAAATTAGATTTTTCAAAAATAGATAAACTTTTTATATTAATACATTTTTTATATTTTATGTTTTCGAATTTATTTTCGATTTTTTATTATTTTTTCTATTTGTTTAATTAATTAAAAAAAAAAAATTAATGATAAAAAAAGGAAAAATAATAAGATGAGAGCGTAAAATTAAAAAAAAAAAAAAAAAAAGACAAACATTGGAGAGCGTTTATAAATAAATTTTCCAGTTTAACAATGTTGACCTTGATTTTCTAAAGTAAAGTGCAGTGACGAACTTTGAGAAATTTTTTTTTATTTATATTTTTTTTTCTTCAAAAAATAAATAAAATAAAAAATTTTTTTTTTTCTGTTATTTTTTTTTTATGGGCAGATATTAAAAAAAAAAATATTTTTGAAAAAAAATCTACATTTTTGGTTTTGAAAAACTATTTTTTAAAAACTGGATTTAAGAGCAATATTTTTTTGAAAAACAAAAAAAAATTTTTAATTAAAATTTTTTTTTTTTTTTTTTTAAACCGGAATTAAGTTTTTTTTATAGGGCAGGGGGGGGGAGATTTTCAAAAACTGTTGTAGGACTCTTTGACGAGACTTTTTATCCTGGGAAGTTTACTTTTAAAAATTGACCTCCATCCCGAACCGTGAATTATTTTTTTCATTTCCAAATTATATTGTCCCGGGCATGGACGAATTTCCCTGCAACCTAATTTTTTTTCTTTCTCAAGCGATTTTCCAAATGCGCAATTATTATTTTTAACTATTCTCGTTTGTTTTCGATTTTCCAATTCATAGTGATTCGGTCCTGGTCCAATTGGTTCCGATTTTGGAAAACTGGACCAAAAAAAAAAGAAAATTTAAATTTTGGTTTTTTTAAAAAAAATGTTTTTTATCAAAAAACTATTTTTTTTTTTTTTGATAAAAGATTATTTTTTTGTATGAAAAAAAAATAATTTTTTTTGTATTAAAAAAAAAATAAAATTTTTTCAATATTTAAAAAAAAAAAAAAATAGAATTAAAAATTAATTTAAAAAATTTTAATAAAAAAAAAAAAAATAATAAATAAATAAATTACGTAATTTTTAATTGATGTAAAATAAAAAAAAAAAAAATACCGTGGATTTTTGCCAAAAACACCTTTAAAATGATTTGATTTATGAAATAATTTTTCAATTTCGCCGGGCAATTTTTTTGGCCAATCAGAATTTTCGAAAATTACTGGAGCGATAAAATATCCCTTTACAGTTGAATAATCCCTGGGTCCTAATTTTAAAATTCAATTTTTTTTTTGTTTTTAAATAAATAATTATTTATTAAATAAAATATAAATTTTTTTTTTAAATTTAAAAAAAATTAAAAAATTAATAAAAAAACAATTTTTTAAAAAAAAATTTAATTTTTACCAGTAAATAAATCATAGGGTCCTCGTTTACCAGTTTTTTTCTCAATAAAACTATCCAAACTATTGGGATATTTAATCTTGTATCTGCAAATAATAATATTAAATTAAAAAAAATTACCTCTGGGAAGAATCGAACCCTGATCATTCGCATACAAAAAATATTACGTGAATAAACGCCATCAGCCACGACTTAAATTATTTTTTAATATAAACGTAAATTTTTTTTCTTTATTAATTTCTCTCTTGTTTATAATATTTTTTTTTTTTTTTTTGTCTTCAGAACTGAATTTTTTTCGAATTAAAAAAAAATTTAGAATTTCCTTCTTTTTTTTTTTTTAGAAAAAATTATAATTTTTTCTGTTTACCTATTTGGGGCCAATGAAGTGGATTTTATTTTTGGAATTCTCGGGGCCAATCCATCAAATTCAAAAGTTGGCAATTTGGAAACACCTTGTTTTTTCTTATTTTCAATGAAATAATAAGGATTATGATTAATTCCAACATAACCTAAAAATTTTGAAAAATTTAAATATAATTTGTATGCGAGCAAAAGAGAGAATTTTTTTTTTTTTGTTACAATAAAATGAATATTGAATTAAATTAATAAAAATAAAAATATAATAATTAAAATATAATAATAATAATAATAATAATAATAATAAAATTAAATAAAAAAATAAATAATAATTAAAATAAATTTAAAAAATAATAATAATTATAATTATAACAAAAAAAAATAATAAATATTCAAAATAAAATAAAAAAAAAATAAATTAAATAATATTTAAAATAAATTTTAAAAAATAATAATTAATAAGTTTTTATTTTTATTTATTGAATTAAATTAAAATAAAATAATTTTTTTTTTTTAGTTATTATTTACCAGGACCAGGAGTTGAGAATTTGACTTTCTTCAAAAATCGTGACGTTGTTCCAAAATCCAAATTTTTTTTCACACTTGAACCAGTTTTATTTAAAAAATTTTCTGGCCATTGTACAATATCATAGGAACCAGGACCGATATTATTTTTTAATTTTGAAATTTTTACAAATTCTCCAAAAAGCCGTACATTATTTTCTCTATCTTTTTTTCTTTGACATTATAAAATATTATTGAATTATTATTATTATTATTATGATTATTATTTTTATTATTAATTTAAATGAAAAAAAAAATTATTTTCTCGAACCGTTTAAAACTTTCATTATTATCATTAATATTATTATTATTATTATTATTATTATTATTATTATTTATAAATTTTTTTAAAATTAATTTTCTTTATTTAAAAATTAATATTAAAAATATGAAAAATAATTTTTTTTTTTAAATTACCTAGTGACAAAATTTTTTTGTTTAAAAATTGGAACAGTTTTACAATCGTTTGAATTAATTGGAGTTATTTTGCAAAGAGAATATGAGCCAAATTGTAAATTTAATTTTTCATTTTTATTTGAAGGTGGAAAAGATTTTTTTGATTTTTGTGAATTTTTCTTGTGTCGCCATCTGTAGACATCGCGACGAATTACAAACACCATATTTTTTTTTTTTAACTCTCGTTGATAATAATTTTTTTTGTTATCTTAGAATTTAGAAAAAAAGTATCAAAAAAAAAAAAAATTTTTTTTGGTTAAAACAAATGATTGTTATAAATAAAGTATTCTTTTTTTTTTTTTATTAAAAAAAATAGTTTTAATTTTTAAAATAATTTTAATATAACAAAGTGTTGCCCTCTAGCGCTGTAATTGCTAAATATATCCACTGTCGATAAATTATATTCTACATTATCGACTTATTAATTATTTTTTTTTTATTTATTTACACAATTTAAATTCAATTTAGAAGTATTAAATTATTTTTTATTAAATTTTTTTTTTTAGTGATTTTATGGTAATTAGATAAATCTTTGTAATTTTCTACTTTATCATATGAGGATAAGTTACCGACTTACCGACAGTGGAATTATTTTTTATTTCCCTACTTTATCATCGAAAGAATAAGATATATAAAATAAAATATAAATAAATATAAAATATTTATATTATTATTATTATTATTATATTTAAATATTTATTTATATAAAATATATAATAATTATAAAATAAAATATATCTTTACAATTATCTACTTTATCTTTATGTGATAATAATTATTTATTAGTAATTATTATAATTAATTAATTAATTAATAAGTAATAAATAATAACAATAATAATAAAAATATTAAAAAATAATAATAAATAATAATAAATAATTTTCATTAAGTCTTTGCATCTTCATAATACCATCTAGAAATATTTATCCTACAATGATAATGTAGATAATTGAAAAAATTTGAAAAAATAATTTTTTTTTTATTTTTTTGTCAAAAATTCTTACAAAAATATTTTTAAAAAAATGTATATTCTATTTTAAGTAAATAATTTTTCTTTCTTTTCATTACATTTTTGGCGGGAAAAAGAAATATATTTAAAAAAAAAAAAAAATTTGGATTGTAAAAGAAATTTTCAATTTTGGTAATTTGAAAAAATGATTTTATCACTTTCTTTTTCTAATTTTTGACCAAAGAAAAAATAATATGTCAATGAAGTTTTTTTTATTAAAAAAAGGAAACTTAAGAAATTTTTTTTTTTTTTTGCAAATTTTGATAAGGACATTTATAAGTAAAGTTTCGTGTGCGAGACATAAGATAATATCGTAGGGTGGATATTAACTACTGAAACCCTGCCTTAGACACTGGCTGTCGATCGACTTCCGGTTTCTGTTTCCCTTTTCCGGAAGACAGTACGACAATGATGAGGCGTGGTCTTGTGTCGCTAAAAATAGAATAAATTCACTTGGCGTTGAGAATTTCAAAAGACTGTATGATTTTTCTTTTTTTTTTTCTTTTCAACTTTGGACAAAAAAAAAAAGAAAAATTAGTGAAAGAAAAAGAAAAAATCAAAAATGAAAAAAAAAATTTAGAAAATTAATAAATTTGGTTTCAATAACATTAGAATAAGAAAAAAAAGAAATAAAATAGTATATAACAAATCTAAAAAAAAAAACAAAAATGGCATAAAATGGCACAAGTGAATTAATAAAAAATGGCGCAAGAAAATTAATAAAAATGTTATCAACAATAATTGAACAAACAAATATACTTATTAAATGGTATAAAAAAAAAAATTAAAAAAGGTACAAAAATGGCACAAAATGGCACATGAAAATTAAATAATGTTCTTCAATGACAATATTATAGTATAAAAAAAAATTGTTTTAAAATACTGCAATATAGATGAATTTAAAAACAGGTACAAAAATGGCACAAAATGGCACAAGAAATTTAAATATTCGATTTCAACAATATAACAAAAAATATGTCTTTAAAATCGTATAAATTAAGTTAAAATATTGACGATCCTAAAAATAGGTACAAAAATGGCACAAGAAATTTAAAAAATGGCACAAAAAAATTAAACAATAGCACAAAATTTTTTTTAAAAAAATGGCACAAGAAATTGAAAATAAATAGTATCAATGACAAAATAGAACAAAAAATACTCGAATAAAATGGTGCACAATAATTTAAAGTGAACGATTCTAAAAATCGAAAAAGAAATGGCACAAAATGGCACTAGAAAATTAAATAATCGAATTCTGCAAATAATGAAAAGAAAAAAATACTAATAAAATGATATAATATGATGCAATATAGACGAGTCTAAAAATGGCACAGAATGGCACAAGGAAATTTAAAAAAATATACTCAACAATGGGACCAAATAATACATAAATATAATGGCATAAAATAATTCAAAGTGGACGATTACAATATATACGAACAAAAATGGCACAAAATGGCACAAAATGGCACAAAAAATTAAAAAAAGAATGGCACAAGAAAAATAAATAATTGAATTCTGCAATAATGGAAACAATAAATAGTAATAAAATGGTATAATATGGTGCAATATAGACGAGTCTAAAAACAGAAACAAAAATGGCACAAAATGGCACAAGAAAATTAAAAAAAAAAATGTTACCAAAAATAGAACCAAATAGTATACCAATGTAGTGGTATAAAATAATTCAAAGTGAACGAATCCAAAATATAGTGGAAAAAATGGCACAAAATGGCACAGGAAAAATTGAAAGATTGGCTTCGCTAATAATAACAAAAAAAAAATATATCAATAAAACCGCAAATTATATAAAATGTCAAAAAGAAAAAAAATTGGCAAATAGTGAATTTTTTTTTCATAAAAAAAAAAAACTACTCAAATAAATTTTACTTTTGTTTAATGTCAGGAAATTTTTCTCGATATCATTTCATCTACCGTTTTCAAGAAGAGAAATGTAAATTTGTGTAATGTATAAAGTCGAGGACTTGCTCAAGGGGCTCAAATACAAACAGCCTGGGGATCGTGTGATAAACGTTAAAGACTCAAGAGGGCACTATATATATGAAAGGGGGAGAGAGTAAGTTTATGAAAGTTTTGTTTCTAAATATTTAGTTACTGGTGTGTCCTAATCGTGAGAGTGAATGAGAGAGTGAGAGAGAGAGAGAGAGACGATTCATATAATTAAATTATTAAGTAAACAAAACAGTAGTCAACTAATTAATTACTTTTCGTAAGGGTAGGAGAGAGAAAAAACAATTTTTATATTACCACCAAAAATTGGTAGTAATACATTATTTTTTTTTTAAACAAGGTTTTTTAAAAACTGTATTTTTTTGCTTTTTCTTTTTTAATTGTCAATAAAGTGGTGTAAAATAATTTAAATTGTACGAATAAAAAAAAAATAAAAAATGGCACAAAATGGCACAAGAAAAATAAAAAAATGGCATAAAATGGCACACAGAAATTAAAAAAAAAAATAATAGAAAAAAATATAGTAATAAAATGGTATAAAATATTTACAAAATAATGCAATGTGGACGTAATTAAAAATGGCACAAAATGGCACATGTAAATTTTATAAAAAAAACTTTTTTTTTTAACAACAATAGAATAAAAAATACAACAATAAAATGGCGTAGAATAATTTAAAATAGGCGAATGTAAAAATGGGTAGAAAAATGGCACAAAATGGCACAAGGAAAATTTTTAAAAATAGTATCATTAACGGTATAACAAGAAATAAACCAATAAAATAGTATAAAATAAGTTGGAATAGTCGAATCTAAAACAATGTACAAAAATGGCACAAAATGGCACAAGAAAATTGAAAAAAAAATTTATTAGCAATAATAGAATACAAAATACAACAATAAAATGGCGTAAAATGATTTAAAATGGGCAAATATAAAAATGGCACAAGAAATTTTTTTAAAAAATTGGTATTAGCAATAGAAACAATAGAATAAAAAATACAACAATAAAATGGCGTAGAATAATTTAAAATAGGCGAATGTAAAAATGGGTATGAAAAAATGGCACAAAATGGCACAGGGGAAATTAAAAAAAAAAAGTTTTAGTATCGATATAACAAAAAATATACCAATAATATAAGTTGCATTGGCCAAATTTAAAACTAGGTATAAAAATGGCACAAAATGGCACAATGAAAATTTTTTTAAATAGTTTTAGTATCGATATAACAAAAAAGAAACCAATAAAATAATATAAAATAAGTTGCAATGGCCAAATGTAAAACTAGGTATAAAAATGGCACAAAATGGCACAATGAAAATTTTTTAAAATAGTTTTAGTATCGATATAACAAAAAAGAAACCAATAAAATAATATAAAATAAGTTGCAATGGCCAAATCTAAAACTAGGTATAAAAATGGCACAAAATGGCACAGAAAAAATTTTAAAAACCTCTTTTAACAGTAATGTTAAAATTTTTTTGTATATTAATTTAATTAGACAATTCATTATTATTAAAAATAAGTAAATACTAAATATAAATATAATAATATATACAACAACAACAATAATAATAATAATAATAATAATAATAAAAATAATAATAATAATAATAAAAATAACAATAATAATAATTTAAATTCTAATTTAACAAAATTAAATTTTAAAAAAAATTATTAAAATATTTATTTATTAGAACAAAAGAAAAATCCTCGGCAAAACAAATCTGATTGAAGCTGAAAAAAGTAAATAAATAATAAAAAAAGAATGTTATTTTTCTATAAAGACAAGAAATTGCTTTTTGATATTTATAAATATATAATAATATCTTGGCAAAAAAAAAAAAAATAAAAGTCGGTTTTAGAACTCACTTTTTTTTTGGCAAAATTTTATTTATAATAGAAAAGATCGTTGGTTTAAAAAAAAAAATTTCGTCAATTTTCAAATGTCGTCAAAAAATCAGAGATATAAGAAGTTGAAACATAACATAAAATATGAAGGACTTTTTTCTTTTACTGTTTCTGATCTAAAGTGGCTTTCTCTCTCTCTCTCTTTCTCTTTCTTTTGCTATACGTTAAAAATAAAATACGAAAATAAAATCGTCGAGAAACGCAAATGTTAATCAAACAATAAATTATTTATAAAAAATTTTTATTTTTTTAATTATTTTTAATTTACGCTAAAAAATTTAGTTACTTTTATTTTTTTTTTGTAATTTTTTTTGTTTTTTGAAATATTTTTTTTTTTCTTTGTTTTTTGTAATTTTTTTTATTTGATTTCCATTTTCTTGTACTTTTTCGATTTTTGTTTTTTTTTTACTTTGAATTTTTGTTGTATTTTATTTTTACTTTTTCAATTTGTTTTTTCAACTAAAAAAAATCAAAAAGAAAAAAAATCAAATACTATCCTTTTTCACCTTCACCAGAAAAAGTCTGAATTTTTTTCGGCGGTTCAATTTTCTCTCTTGAGCCTCTAAAAAAAAAATAAATAAAATAAAAAAATAAAAAAAAATAAAAACGAAACGATAATAAAAAGTATAGCAGTGGGTGAATTGGTGGTCACAAGGAGCAATTCTTTCGGACACTATATATACACACACACACCTTATCGTGTGGCGAAGACGGTGACAATTTATGGAAACCTTCCTCCACTTCAGAATCAAAATATATTTCTTCCCGTTAACGTTCTGTAAATGAGAAAATGTGTTTCTTTGTTTTACGAAACTAAAGCCTGTAGTAAGGCTAAGAAAAAAAAAAATTCCTAAAATATATCAAACAAGGAATTTTTTTTTGTTACATTGTATTTATTTTTATAAATATTTTTTTTTTAAAAAGAATTTTGCATCCAAATTATACTTATCGACTGATGATAATGCAGATAATTTCTTTACCGACTGTTGATAATGAAGAAAATTTCCATATCAACTACCTATCCAAACAAAATTTTAACCAAATGTCGAAAATTTTGCTTATAGACTGTTCATAATGAAAAAAAATTTACTTATCGACTGATGGTACAGTAGAAATATTCATTATCGACGGCCGGTAAGACAAAAAATTACCTTATCTACTTGTTTCACTAATATCTATAATAATTTACTTATTGACTGTTGGTAAAGTAGAAATATTCATTATCTACTATCGATAATGTAGAAAATTACATTATTTTCCAGTTGTAATAATTATAATTACTTATCGACCACTTTTAATGTGGTAAACTTCATTATCGACTGTCGATAAGACAGAAAATTACCTTATCTAATGACACCAATAATAATTTGCTTATCGATTGCCGGTAATATAGAAATCTTCATTATCGACAGTTGATTATTTTTGCAAGGAGAATTGAGAAATAATCGTAAAAATAAATAAACCATAAAATTTTGCAATACAAATTTATTTTTTTTCGATGTCCCTGTATTTTAATTTTCTTTTTTTTTTTTTTTAAACATTTATAAACACCAATTTTACAGTTAATATATTAATTTTTTTTTAATAAAAACAAGAAAACAATTTTTTTTTTTACAAAATAACATTATTTGTTGTTTTTGTTTTTTTTTTTCGAAAATAATTTCCAAATTTATGCTAATTTAATATGTTGTTAAGAGTGGAAAAAATGTTTTTTTTTTTATTAAAAATAAAAATGATAAATGAAAAAAAAATCTCACGCACTTTATCTCTATAAATTTAACAATTTTGTTTCAGTTGGTTTTGAATAAATTACCCGCTCTCTTTCCACATACACACACACGCAAAACACAGATTTTTTTGGCAGGCTTGAAATTTATATTTTTTTTCACATACCATTCTTTATATTTCATCAGCGAAAGGAGAAAAAGAAATTTTTTTTTCGCTAGTTAAAAAAATAGATTTTACATTTTTTTAATCTTTATTGATTTTTTGTTATTAATAATAATAATAAGAATAATAATAATAATAAATTAATAATAAAACAATTGTACAATAAATTTTTTTTATTATAATACATTGATTAATAAATAAATAACTAATATTTTAATAAATATTACAAAATGTAAAATCTTTTTTTTTTTTTTTAATAAATACTATTTTAGATATATTTTTTTTCCTTATCTAAATGTTAAAATTTTTTTTATAATAAAACATTAATTATCAGCTAATTAATTAATTTTTAAATTTTTTCTCTTACGTATTTGACAAAATGTTCTTTTCTACTTATTTTATTATAGAATTTTCGATAAAATTGAACGACAGGCGAAATATACTTAAATTAATTTTACGACATTCATTCTAATTTTTTTTTTTTAAATATATTAAAATGTTTTTTCAAAAAATTTTTTTTTTTTAATAAAATAAACAATTTTAACATGAAAACATTTTTTGATCGATCTTAATTATTAATTTTATAAGTGTAAAAAATTATAAAAACAAAATTTGAAAGAGCACCAGTGTGAAAAAATTATTTATTTTTTTTTTGCTATATTTGAAATATGTTAAAAAAGAATAAAAAAAAAAGGTTTAATCTCTATATTTTTGGGACAGCGCTTAGAGGGAATTGAATAAATTTCCTTTATAATTATTATTAAATATTACAAAAAATTTGCATAAGTCGATAATGTAGGTTTTTTGATTTACCGATTGTTGGTAATGTGGGTACTGTATTTATCAACTGTCGGTAATATAGGCATCTATGTCGGTAATTTATTTACTGTATTCTTTTTTGTTTGTCGGTACATGTAACTTTATTTTCGACCATTTACTATTTATAATAATTATTTATAATTGTATATTTATTTACCGATTATTGGTAATGTAGATATTACATTTACCAACTGTAGGTAATGTAGAAAACTAATTGTAGATAATTAAGTTTTTGTATTGGTAATGTATATTCTACCCTACCGACTGTTGGTAATGTATATTCTACCTTACCGGCTGTTGGTAATTCAGATAACTTCATTACCGACTGTGGATAAAGTAGACAACTTTATTACCGACTGTCCCAAATTTATTTTTACAAGAACTGCGCTCTCAGAAAGTAATCATTTTTTCAATAAAATTTTTATTTTTTAACCTGTTAAAGGTAAATTTAAAAATAAACAAAAAATGACATTTAATTCTTAATTTTTCTAAAAAAAAAAAAATATAATTATTGTTATATATGTATAGCGATCAAGTTTCCCCATTTTTTTTTTATTTTTTTTTTTAATTTTCCATTTCCTGAAATCAAAAATACTGACCTTGTTTTGAAATATTGATTCAGGATGGAAAATTACGTACATATACATATAGGATTTCAATTTTTTTTTTTTTTTTTGAAAAAAAAAAAAAAAAAAAGAAAACTTTCCATTATGTGGTTTTCTCTCTGATATCCTTTGTTTTTCTTCACATATCGAGAAATTATTGTTGTTAATTGAAGGAGCATTGGAGTCGTTATTCCTCTGTGAAATTGGATAAAAATAATATTTTTAATTAGTAAATTTTTTTTTATTATTCTTTAATATTAAAAAAAATATTTATTTACAATTTTTTTTTTAAATTTCTATATTCAAATGTTATTTATTTGTTAATTATAATTTATTTATTTATTTAATAAATAAATTAATTGTCTGAATCTAAGGTATTTTTTTTTAGATTAATTTTTTGAATGAAATAATAATAATAATAATAATTTTTTGTTACTGACCTCTCCTAAATATTTTCTATCAATGGACCCGGCAATATATTATTGACTAAACCATAAGTTCAGGTCCATCTAAAATCAATAAAAAAAAAGAACTCGAAATGTAACTGACAATTTTAAAATCATAAATATTTTTTTTTCCAAATCTCTAAAAACAATATTAAAAAATTAATAATTGTAAAAAAATAACTGTAAAAATAATATAAATTTTTTTTTTTTAAAAGTAATTAAATAAAACCAGAAAAAAAATAAGTAAAACAAAAAATAAAAAATATAAAAAATTTCCAAAAAATAATTATTAAGAAATAAAAATTACTTACATTTTTTTTTTATTATAAATGTCCTAATCATAATTAAGTACTAATAATCGTCGTCGAAGGAACACTGAAAAAAGCAACAAAAAGAAAAAAGTTCAAAAAATTGAAAATTGAATTTTTTTTTCTTTTCTTTTAGTAAATTAAATTAAAAAAAAAATTAATGCAAAAAAAACAGTCAAAATAGAGCCTAATTAAATTTTTATTAAAAAAAAATGTTTTTCCCAAAAAAAATTATATTGTAAACATTTTTATTTTCAAAATATTAAAATTATTTATCATATGCTATATAATAAATGCAAAATATAAAAAAGAAAACAATATAAAAATAAAAAAAAAAACTCTACTTTTGGGGAAGATGAAGTAATTTCAAGTGTCCGACAAGTTTAATTACGAGAAGTTAATTAAAGTTGATATTTCAAATGGGTCGACGTTAAACCACGCAAGAAACAAGATTTCTTTTTTTTTTAAAGAGAGAAAAAAAAACTACATTCGCATTTAAAAAGAAAAAGTGTAAAGAAAAAATTTTTTTTTAATTAAAATTACTTGAACACAAAATTATGACAAATTTTTTTTTTTTATCAAAAACTTAAATTTTTTTGTTTATTAAAAAAATAGAAAATAATTTTTTTTTTTTATCAAAATGATAATAATTATTGCAATTATTGAGCGATTAGTCGATTTTTATAACGGGACGTAGTGAGAATAAATTTTTTTTTTAAATTTAAACATACCGCACACTAGTTGTTCTGGTTTGACTAAGACTGGCATGTCTTTTAACGGTGTTTGGGTATCCTCGTCTTGAACACATACGCCATAATCCACCACGTGCTGCTGATAAAAAACTTTCCCTAAAATGTTTTGACATGAATCCATAAATTATTGGATTTATACAGCTGAAACAAAAGAAAAGAGGGATGAGGGGATGAGAAAAAATAGTAAAACATTTTTTTTTTGAAAGAATTTTGTATTTAAATTATAATTATCGACTGATGATAATGTTGATAATTTCATTACCGACTGCCGATAATAAAGAAAATTTCTTTACCGACTGCTGGTAATGGAAAATATTTCTTTACCGACTATCGGTAATGAAGAAAATTTCTTTACCGACTTTCGATAATAAAGAAAATTCTTATATCAACTTCCTGTCCAAAAAAAACTTTAACCAAATATCGATAATGTTGGAAATTTACTTATGGACTGTCAATAATGAAAAAAACTTACTTATCGACTGATGGTATTGTAGAAATTTTCATTAACGACGGTCGGTAATAGAGAAAATTTCCTTATCTACTAATGTTACTGATAACTATAATTTACTTATCGATTGCTGGTGATATAGAAATCTTCATTATCGACTGCTGATAATACAGAAAAATTTTCTTATCGATTTCCTTATTTACTGATGTAAAAAATTTTATTATTGACTGTTGATAAGGCAGAAAATTACCTTATCTACTCATAGACTATTTGCTAGTAATGTGGAAATCTTCATTATCGACTATCGATAAAACACAAAATTCCCTTATCTACCAATGTTACTAAAAACAATAATTTATTTATCGACTGCTGGTTATGTAGAATTCTTCTCTATCGACTGTTGGTAATACAGAAAATTCTCTTATCGACTAATGTCAATTTTTTTTTTACTATAAACTGTCGGTAATTTAAGAAATTTTGTGAATAACTTTTATCGATTATTTAAATATTGGATTTTTTTTTGACAAAATTTGTAATGTTAGAAAAAGTTTGCAATATTCAATTTTGCTTGCATTTAAAAATTAAATAAACATATTTTTTTCTCATGCAGAATATAAAAAAAAGTCGTTGGCATATAACTAAGAAACTTTTTTTTTCTCATTCTGACATTATTGACATTTGTTAAGAAGTGTGAGAAAAACTGAGTTGAAGAGAGGAAGAAAGAGAGTGAGTGAGAGAAAATGTAATTATAAAAAATGTACATTAAAGAAAAAAAGTCACTTGAAAATCGATGACATCATCTTTGCATTATTAACTTTGTGAAAATCACATTTTTTTTTTTCAATTATTCTTGTAACAATTTTTTAATGTCCATCACAGTGTCAGTAGCAAAATAATAATGAATCAGGAAAAAAAATAATTGAGAATTACTCTTTTGCATTCGATACGGAAAATTGAAATATTTTTTCTTTCATTTGGAAATTTATTATATATTTTTTAATTTCTATTATTATTATTATTATTATTATTATTATTATTATTATTATTATTACAAATTTTAAGTATAGTAAATAAATTATGATAAATAAATTTTAGAAAAAAAAATGTTGAAAGACAACTCACCTGTTTAAATATGCCATTAGTTGAAAGGCAGTATTCATATGTTTATAATGACTATGTTTTTGTTTTGGAAAAATTCCATAAGCAGTAAGAACATTGTCAATGAGCATTGGACTCCAACAGATGGCAAATAATACGACAACAGCCACAAGCATTTTTACAACCTATAAAGGAAATTTTTTTATTAACTAAAAAAAATTTTATTTTCTACTTTATCGACCGTTGGTAAAGTGAAATTTCAAATTCAATTTAATTTATTTAAAAACAAAACATTTTTATCTTCTCAAATCAAAGAGAATCTGAAAAACAATAAAAAAAAATTTCCTACTTTACCGACTGACAGTACAAACACAGTATATTTTTAAGATTATATTGACAAAATATAAACCTGTTTCATCGTGCGTGATTCCTCTTGTGTTTGACCATTTTCCCGACGATTTCGACGTCCATTGCGAATTGTGCTTTGTCTATTAGACATTGGAATGCACTCTGTCTCTATATTGTTTGGACTTAACCTAGAAAAAAAAAATAAATTTTTTTTTAATTTCTAACAATCGATGTTACATTTTTTTAAAAAGTCGGTAATGTAGGTATTTTATTTACCAACTGTTGGTAATGTAGGGATTTTATTTGCCGACTGTTGGTAATGTAGGGATTTTATTTACTGAATGTTGATAATGTAGGAATTTTTATTTACTGACTGTTAATAATGTAGGGATTTTATTTGCTGACTGTTGGTAATGTAGGGATTTTATTTACTGAATGTTGATAATGTAGGAATTTTTATTTACTGACTGTTAATAATGTAGGGATTTTATTTATCAATTGTCGGTAACATAGGCATCCAAGTCGGTAATTTTTTTCTTGACGGTTGGTAATGTGGGTATTATATTTGTCAACGGTCAGTAAAATAGGCATCAAAGTCGGTAATTGATTTATCGACTGTTGGTAATGTAGCTATTATATTTATCAACTGTCGGTAATATAGTCATCCAAGTGTAGGTAATTTATTTACTGTATAATCAACAGTTGTCAGTGCGGATTAATTATTATTATTATTATTATTAGTATTTATTCTTAATTGTTATAAATATTTCTTTACTGATTGTTGGTAATGTAGACATTATAATTACCAACTGTAGGTAATATAGAAAACTATTGGTAAATAATTAAGTTTTTTGTATTGGTAATGTATATTCTACCCTACCGGATGTTGGTAATGCAGATAACTTTATTACCGACTGTTGGTAATGCAGGTAACTTTATTACCGACTGTTGGTAATTCAGGTAACTTTATTGACTGTTTATAATACATGCAGCTTTATAACCGTTTGTTGATAACACAGACAGCTTTATTATCGACTGTTGATAATAGAGATAACTTTATTACCGACTGTTGATAATGCAGATAATTTCATTGAAAGCAAATTATATTTAAAATATTCAATCAAATTTCTTTACATGGCTCAATGTATATTTATATTAATTGAAGTTATCGACAGTTGGTAATTAAAAAACTATTAATGATAAAAAAAAAATTTTTTTCGACAAATTTTTAAAGATAATTTTTGCAAAAATTTATCAAAAAGAATTATGTGCTAACCTATTTTCGCGTGAGAATAAATTACTTTGATAGTTTCAAAGTGGTCAAAGTGGATTATCGATATTCAGACGGAAGTTCGAGCTCTATTTCATGTGTCCGGACTTTATATATATATATATATAAACGTGAAATATTTAAATAAGCACCCTCAGTAAAATTGATGGACAGACGTGAAAAATTGGATATTAAAAAAAAAAACAATATATTGTTTTTTTCCACAATAGATTCGTGATGATGTTAAAAAAAAATTATTTTTCAAAGAATTCTTCTCAATACAATGCTTGGTTATATGCAAAAATTAGTTTTTGAATTGTGAATTTTTTTCTTTTCTTTTCTTTTTTGTTATCGAAAAAAAATTCACTATTTAAATATTTGAATGGTTTTTTTTTTATTTTTTATCATAAAAAAGTGAATTGCAAATTTTTTCTTTTTGTCAGTATATTGAAAAAAAATTGTTATTAATTTGTAGGTAAAGTAGAAAAATTCTTTATTCACTGTCGGTAATAAAGGGAAATACATTTATTTGATTTAAAAAAAAAAAAAAAAATTTCCTTCACGTATTTTTGTTTTATTTTGATGATTTTCTTAATATTAGAGGGAAATGATTTTTTTTTTGTCTATTTTGAAAAAAAAAAATTTGTGGTCTCGAAATCAAAAAAAAATTTTTTTTCTTTTTCAAATTGAATAAAAGTTTTAATGATTGTTAGTTTTTAAATTATAATCTTGCAAGTTTAGAGAGTGTGTGTATATATATGTCTTTCTGGGCGATTACAAACACTCCATTTCTATATTTAAATCCTCTTGGAAACATTATTTCCGACTTGCGACAGTGATCTAAATTTTCACGGCACGGTTACTGTCCTTTTCGCTTTAACTTTCTTCCAATCATTAGTTTCAATCTTTTGAGAATTAAATCAAAATCATTATTATCTTAATTGACTTTCAACTTCAAAATTTTGGACATTTCAATTTTACCGCCTCGACAAAATATGACATTTATAATAATTATTTTTTATTTTTTTATGGTTTTTGGATTTTTTAAAAATAATTTTGAGTTTTCTATTTTAATTTTAATTTTTTTTTTAAATTTATTTACACAGATTTTTATTGTTATTTATAAAAAATAAATTAATTTATCAAATATTGTCATATATATAGTTATTTTTAGAAAATGATTTTTTTTTGTCGTTTTTTTTTTCGAAGAGACAAAAAAAAAAAATGTGAAAAATAAATCTCTGTCTCACTTCTTTGACTGCAAATTGATTCATTATCACTTTTTCGACTACTGTAAACAAATAATGACACTAAAATAGAATTGTGTGTTAGTCAATTTTAAGATTATAAATGTTCTTGGAAAATGTAAACAAAAATTCACTATCAACATATATAATTGTATATAGTATATTGGACGCCTGGTTTTAAGTAGTAATTTGTGGATGTTTCTTAATTTTAAAAGGCCAACAAACATGCACGTGTGTTTAAATGGAAATCTTTCAATTAAGATTTCAAACAAGATGGATTTTAAAATAGATTTTTATTAGTTCAAATTCATTGGCGTTGTGGTACTTGAAAATATATGTAGATTATTTTAAAAAAAATAATAATTTCCTCTATCCAGGAAATACAAAATTTAAAATACTTTCTTTTTATTTTAAATATTTAATTTTTGAATTGATATTTAATAATTTTTTACATTTATTTTCACCTATTTCTAAAAAAAAAAACCTGTAAAGTATTTATTAGTATAAAGATATTTCTGGCTTGCTATTAGTCGATAATGCAGATTTCCTACTTATCGACTGATGGTAAATACGCGATCTTTATTACCGACAGTAGTTACGAACAGTTAGATATAAAAACGAAAAAAATATGGACATTTCTCATTTACCATTCGCCGGTAATGCAGATCGCCTACTTACCGACTGATGGTAAATACGCGATCTTCCCTACCGACCGATGGTAACAAGACTCGAAACTTCTATTAATACTACCCGTGTATATTAATGGTGCATTTTTCAAAGAAAGTTAAAAAAATTAAAAACCAATTTTTCCGAAAAGCAAGAAGGAAGTATTTATAATTTTATTTAGTATTTTTTCAATTTTATTTGCATTTATTTCTAAATATATTGTAAAGTAGCATTAGCAGTAAAGGTATATTTCTGGCTTATCATTAGTCGATAATATTGCCTACTTAACAACGGATGGTAAATAAGCGATCTTTATTACCGACTGTAAGGTATAAAAACGAAAACAATATATAGATTTCTCATTTATTGTTAGTTGGAAATGTAGATTGCCATCTTACCTACGGATAGTAATTACGGGATCTTATTTACCGACCGATGGTAATGCAGATTGTCTACTTACCGACGAATGGTAATTAAAGGATCTTCTTTACCGACTGATGGTTATTTTTCTATTTAACATTAGCCGGTAATGTAGATCGCCTACTTACCGACGGATGGTAATTAAGGGATTTTCTTTACCGACTGATGGTAAATAGACTAGAAACATCCAATAATACTTTTTCTACACATTAAGATTGTCATTAAGGGATCTTCTTTACCGACTAATGGTTATTTTCCTATTTAACATTAGCCGGTAATGAAGATCGCCTACTTACCGACGGATGGTAATTAAGGGATTTTCTTTACCGACTGATGGTAAATAGGCTAGAAACATCCAATAATACGTTTTCTACACATTTTTGAGATTGTTTTTATCAAAAATAAAATATTTCTTAAAATTTCTAGTAAAATAAAGATAAAATTTTTTTCTTTTTATTTTTTTTAATTGTAATATTAATTTTTTCTTTTTTTTTTTTTTTTTAGTAAATTTATTATACTTACGCGTGTCTTGATGTCATGTGATATCGTTTTTTCATTACACGCCATATTTCCCAACAGATTGCAGTGTAGCAAAATGCCATTATTATAAGAGGTATCACTAATACCAGTAAAAGCATGTAAAGTTCATGTGTTCGCCATAAAGTAACTGAATTGAAGTCCCTTTTACAGTGATATGCTTTTACATATATTCCTACTTCTTTATGGATCTGTAAGCAAAAGTATATATATATATATATATATATATATATATGAAAAAGATGAGAGGGAAAAAAATTGAGTATGAGTAGACGATGTTTCAATGTCTATATCGTGAGTGAAAAAATACAAATTTTTTTTTCTCGACACATTAGAAATATTGTCGGCAATTTTTTTTTTCTTCTTTTTTTTTTTAGTATTTATTTTAAGGTATTTTTCTTTAATTCTGGAGGGAAAAAATAATTTTTTTTTTCTTTTTGAAAATTCTGTTAAAAATATTTTTTTTGCAATAAAAAATTATTGTTTTTTTTTCTAAAAAAAATAAAAAAAAAAATAAATAGAAATATAAAATAATAATAATAATAAATCTAGAAATAAAATATTTTTTTAAAAATAAAAATAGGTATTTAAATTTTTAATTTTTTTTTTCCTACTAAAATCGGGAGAAAATTAGTAAATGTGCTGTAAATATATGAATATATCAGATAAATGGATTTTCAAAGTTATTTAAACTACATTTAAAGTAACTAATGAAACTGAGGGAGAAAGAGAGAGAGAGAGAGAGAGTGATGGTGGGTGGGGTGGGGGGAGGGCGCAGTACAAGAGACTTTGAGTAAAAATTGCACCATCGAAATTCCATGCCCGGGAAATTGAACGATAATATCGTTTGGCTGCATTTCAGAAATAAGTCAAAATGGAATGAGAGAGAAAGAGGGAAAAACCACAAAAAAAGTGATAAATTGAAATTTTTCTACAAATTGAAACGATATAACGAAATTAAATTTCAATTAAAAAAAAAATTTATTTAAATATTGTTTTTTTTTTATCCATATACAAAGTGACAAGTTCAAAACAATTTTTTTCTTGTTAAATGCAAAATGTAAACAAGAAAAGAATAAATAAATATAAAATAAATATGAAAAATTAATTTTTAAACAATTTAAAAACAAAAATGTTCTTTTTATTACAAAAAATTGAATTTATTTATTTATAGTAGATATAGACGGGAAAAACAAATAAATATAAAAATTAAAAGTTTAATTTAAAAAAAATTTTATTTTTTTTTTGTTTATATTTTTTTTATTGTTTGAAATAGTTAAAAAATAAATTAAATTTTATACAATATTTAATACAATAAAAAAAAATTTTTTTTAAATTTTCTTTTTCTTAAAAAATTCTTCTCTAAAACATTCCTGAGGTGTACGTGAATACAGGAACTTACACATATAAGATGTTTTAGACATTGTTTACACGAACAATGTTTTATATATATATATATATATATATATATACGTAAATATGTAATAACTAAAATGTTTTCTAAAAGAAATTGAAAATTCTACAAAATACTTTCGGTACGTGGAGAGTCTATAAAATTTTCAAGAATGTTACGTTTGGGGATACTCGATGCAATCTAATATAATATATATTTCTTGTGATATATTTTTTTCCTTTTACTTGAGAAGCAATAATTTCTTATTTTTTCCTGATTTTTATTGCCTTTCTTTTCCAATTAAATAAAAAAAAAAAATGACAATAATATATTAGGCGTATATGTATGAAATTTTTATTAAACAAAATTTTTTAATGTGTAACTCGCACTTGTCTTATTTTTTTTAATAGTACAATCTTTTTTACCGACTGCTGATAAAACAGATTAGACTAATTAAAAATTGATGAGAATTTTTTTTCAATCAAAACTGTTTTACCGACTGCTGATAAAACAGATTAGACTGATTAAATATTTAATTATCTTAGTCAAAACTGTTTTACCGACTGTTGATAAAATAGATTTGAAGTATTAAATCAGTAAAAAACAGATTTAAAATAATTATTTAGTGTTAAATTAATTAATAATTTAATTATTAATTATAATAATGCCTGCGTTCAAAAAAAACTATTTTACCTACTGCTAATAAAACAGTTTTGATTGTTCAAAAACTGTTTTACCGACTTCTAATAACGTAGAGTTTGACTGATTATATTAAATAAGCAATAATTCCACAGACAAAAATATTATACCAACTGTTGATAAAACAGATTCGACTGATTAAATGAATGATAATTATCTTAGTCAAAACTGTTTTACCGACTGCTGATAAAACAGATTAGACTAATTAAAAATTGATGAGAATTTTTTTTCAATCAAAACTGTTTTACCGACTGCTGATAAAACAGATTAGACTGATTAAATATTTAATTATCTTTGTCAAAACTGTTTTACCGACTGTTGATAAAATAGATTTGAAGTATTAAATCAGTAAAACAGATTTAAAATAATTATTTAGTGTTAAATTAATTAATAATTTAATTATTAATTATAATAATGCCTGCGTTCAAAAAAAAAACTATTTTACCTACTGCTAATAAAACAGTTTTGATTGTTCAAAAACTGTTTTACCGACTTCTAATAACGTAGAGTTTGACTGATTATATTAAATAAGCAATAATTCCACAGACAAAAATATTATACCAACTGTTGATAAAACAGATTCGACTGATTAAATGTATGATAATTATCTTAGTCAAAACTGTTTTACCGACTGCTGATAAAACAGATTAGACTGATTAAATAGATAAGTTCTTATACAAAATCTGTTTTACCGACTGATAATAAAGCAGATTTGACTGATTAAATCGATGATAATTATTTTAATAAAAACTGTTTTACCGACTGTTGATAAGACAAATTTAATGTATTACATTTGTAAAATATATTTAAAATAAATATTTAGTTGTTTAATTAATTAACATTTCAATTATTAATTATATAGGTACTAATGCTTGATTAAAAGAACTGTTTTACCTACAGTTGGTAAAACTTATTTGACTGTTTACATTTTAAAAAACTGTTTTACCGACTGTTAATGAAACAGATTTGATGGATTATGTCGGTAAAACAGATTTAAAAAAAAATAATTTAGTCCTTTATTAATTAAAATTTTAATATTATTAATTGAATTTTTTTTGTTTCAGGTATACAGCGCGCGGATTCATTAAAAAAAATTTTTTTTTTTACATTATACGGGAGTGTTCGAACCTATAGTGAAAGTGACGGTCGTTTAATTATTAATGTAAAATTTTTTTTTCTTATTCTCGTTATAAACAGCGTATACGTATACAGCTGTACGTGTCGTGTCGGATTTAAAAAATTAGCTTCGGGAGTGTTAATACGAAATTTTCTATAATCGCGAAACGAAATTTTTTTAGTATAGGGTGTTTAAAATTCGTTTTCGTTGTTTGTCTTTCCGTTATACATATATACATAAAGGACAACTCGTAACGCGCGCGTTCGAATTATATAATTTAAAACCGCGATCCTTTTTTTTTCGCGAACACATCAAAAAAAAAAAGTTTATTTTAAATTGGGAAGAGGGGGGGGTGGGAGGGCTCATTTGAAATCATTATGCCAGGGATTTCGCAATAAGTCTTATTGAATGTTGAATAATTTTTCATAAATAAAACCAATTTATGAAAAAATTTATTCATCTCATCTGTAAAGTTTTACTTGTGACAATTATTTAACCTTGATTGTTATATGCGCTTCTGATTATCATAAAATTTGTCACCTACTAATCAATGGATTGATTTGAGAAATATAATGTATCACACATTTAACGCCAGGGTTTTAAATATTTCCTTGTGAATCTTTACACTGATGGCTACAAAAAAATTTGTAAGTAATATTGTAGCCATCGACCCGCTAGTGGGATAAGGCAAGGGCTACGCATACCTAACTGCACATTCTTTGCGCAATTTATTTTTTTAATCTGTTTAAGTTACACTTACACTCATTATTATTAATAAAAAAATTTTTTTTTTTTTTTTGAAGAAATATTTTCCATATCAAAATAAAAATTAATATTTTATATATATAGGGCATTCTATGTGAATAAATTTTGAATAAAATTGTCTATTTTCACGGAATAAAGTGACGTGAAATTAGCCGATTGTCTATTTTCACGTCCTAAAATAACGTGACTTTAGCCAAATGTCTAACTTCACGCCGTGAATTTAACCGATTGTCTATTACCACGCCGTGAAAGGACGTGGCTTTAGCCAAACGTCTATTTTCACTCTCTAAAAGGACGTGACTTTAGACTAATTTTTAATTTCACGCCGTGACTTTAATCAAATGTCTATTTTCACGTCGTAAAAGAACGTTACTTTAGACAAATGTATAATTTTACGCCGTGACTTTAACCGATTGTCTATTCCCACGCCGTCAAAAGACGTGACATTAGTTAAATGTCTATTTTAACGCTGTAAAAGAACGTAACTTTAGACAAATGTCTAATTTCAGGCAGGAAAGTGACGTGACTTTAACCAAATGTCTAATTTCACTCCGTTAAATGACGCAAAAATTACGTCACTTTCCGGCGTGAAATTGGAAATTAGTCTAAAGTCACGTCCTTTTAGAGAGTGAAAAATAGACATTTGACTAATGCCACGTCCTTTAACGGCGTGGGAATAGACAATCGATTAAATTCACGGCGTAAAATTAAACATTTGTCTAAAGTCACGTCCTTTTACGGCGTGAAAATAGACATTTGGTTAAAGTCACGGCGTGAAATTGGAAATTAGTCTAAAGTCACGTCCTTTTAGAGAGTGAAAATAGACATTTGTCTAAAATCACGTCCTTTGACGCCGTGGGAATAGACAATCAGGGTAAATTCACGGCGTGAAATTATACATTTGTCTAAAGCCACGTCCTTTTACGGCGTGAAAATAGACATTTGGTTAAAGTCACGGCGTAAAATTGGAAATTAGTCTAAAGTCACGTCCTTTTAGAAAGTAAAATTATACATTTGTCTAAAGTCACGCCATTTTAAGGCGTGAAAATAGACATTTGGTTAAAGTCACGGCGTAAAATTGAAAATTAGTCTAAAGTCACGTCCTTTGACGCCGTGGGAATAGACAATCGGTTAAATTCACGGCGTGAAATTATACATTTGTCTAAAGCCACGTCCTTTTACGGCGTGAAAATAGACATTTGGTTAAAGTCACGGCGTAAAATTGGAAATTAGTCTAAATTCACGTCCTTTTAGAAAGTAAAATTATACATTTGTCTAAAGTCACGCCATTTTAATGCGTGAAAATAGACATTTGGTTAAAGTCACGGCGTAAAATTGAAAATTAGTCTAAAGTCACGTCCTTTTAGAAAGTAAAATTATACATTTTTCTAAAGTCACGCCATTTTAAGGCGTGAAAATAGACAGCCGGCTAAATTCACGTGTTTTCTTAAAATTAAATTAAATGCAAATCAGTTTAAAAATTTTTTTTTGTATTACAGTTATAATAATGCATAATTACTTAATTTTTTTTTTCCTAAATAGTAAAACATATAACCGCAATATTACAATATATTCTGTGGTTATATATTTTACTAGTTGGGTTTTGTATATTTAAAGAATTATTTTATCTGTTTTAATAAATTAAATTAAAATTTGTATTATGTTTAAAATAAAATTTTATCTTAATATTAAAAATGTAAGCTATTTAAATTATTTTTAATTGTATAAAATCATTTTTTTTTGTATAATGCATCTTTCTTTTTTGGTGAGTGTTTTTTAAAAAAAAGTGTGCTTATTCTGATCAATAAAATAAATTTCAAAAAGTTTGCGTCACGTTTTGTTTTGTGAATGACACTTTCTTGGCTGCCTCCTTAAAGGTAAATTTACAGATAAGCTCTATATATCAATAAGCTGGTCTTGAAATTTATCCTTAGGGTTGCTTTAGGGCCCAAGAGAGAAGAGGAACTGCTTCTGGACTCCACAGCTATCGGTGAGTTTTTTTTTTTATTTTTATAATTGCATGCAAATAATTAATTTATATATTAATTTCTAAAAGGAAAAAAAATTAGTGATATTAAGATAAATTTTTTTTAAAAATAATTTAACTAACATTTTATATTTAATATATATTTATATTTTATATTTAAAATATATCAAGTTTTGTAAAATTCTTAGCAAAAAAAAAAATTTTTTTTTTTTTTTTTTTTTTTTTTTTGGTATACTCAAGAGCATTTAAAAGAAGTTATAATTAAAAAAATTATAAAGTCGTTTATAAAACATAGTATATCGCACATAATTCAAAAGCTCTTCTCACAGCAGTTTGCAACTCACAAAGTAAATTAATTATTCTTCACTTCCCTTAACTTTATTGTGCATTTTTCATCTTTATATTTTATCATTTTCTTCTTAGCGTTTTTTTTCTATTTTTATTTATTTATTTTTTTTTTATATTTTTATAATAAAGTTATATTTAAAAACTTTTGATTTTAATAAAGTTTCTTCATTATCATTATCATGACTAATAGCAAAGTGAATAATTGTTAAAGTAGGTGTTGATTACACTTATCTTTTCTAAATTTTTTACCCTCCCCCCTCAATTTCTCTCTCTCTCTCTCTCTTTTTTTTCTATTTAATTCTTCCGCCGCACCTCTCTAGGATTTCAAACCCCCCTTTAAGGTACCACTTATTTTATTTAGCACTCTTTTGTGTTGAAGGGAAATTAGGTTAAGTGAAAACTAAACTTGATCTACTTGAACGAGGATAATCTTTCACTGCCAACAAAACTAACTTTTAGCCCGAGTGAATAATATTGAGTGAGCTTTAAGTTCTTGGCTCAATTGAAAATTTGATATAAGCTATAATCATTTTTGATATTTATAATGCGATTAAGAAAATGGGGAAAAAATTATAATTGTTATATTCGATTAGATTAGATTCCATTACATTGTATCATATTACATTATAAGTTAATATATTATATTATATATTATATTACATTATACATATATGCCCTGGCTCATTACAAAACGATCTAAGAAGCCAATTAATTTTTACTAATTTTAAATCCATTGAGAGTTTTTTTAAAATTTTAAATGTCGGAAACATATTGAAAGATGGAATTTAAAAATTGTTTCTCGGGGCTTTTTGTGGTAGCTAAATTGAAAAATTAATGTCACATTTGTTATCAGCGACCTCAAAAATCCCCAAGTGATGAGTTTTAAGAATATTTGACGATTTTTGAGAAAAAACCGCTATATTGGATCCGCTATTTTGAATTTTGAAAAACTGACATTAAATTCGTAATCAGCGACCCCGAAAACCCCCGTGTAACAAGTTTCAAGTGAATTCGGTAAATTTTTAAAAATGATGCCGCCATATTGGATCCACCATTTTGAATTTTGAAAAACTGACATTAAATTCGTAATCAGCGACCCCGAAAACCCCCGAGTAACAAGTTTCAAGTGAATTCGGTAAATTTTAAAAAATATTGTCTGCCAAATTGGATCTACCATTTTGAATTTTGAAAAACTGACATTGGATTCGTAATCAGTGACCACGAAAACCCCCGAGTAACAAGTTTCAAGTGAATACGGTAAATTTTTTAAAATTTTGCCGCCATATTGGATCCGCCATTTTGAATTTTGAAAAACTGACATTAAATTCGTAATCAGCGACCACGAAAATCCCCGAGTAACAAGTTTCAAGTGAATACGGTAAATTTTTCAAAATTTTGCCGCCATATTGGATCCGCCATTTTGAATTTTGAAAAACTGACATTGGATTCGTAATCAACGACCACGAAAACCCCCGAGTAAAAAGTTTCAAGTGAATTTGGTAAATTTTTCAAAAAAATCTTCGCCATATTGGAACCGCCATTTTGAGTTTTGAAAAACTGACATTAAATTCGTAATCAGCGACCACGAACACCCCCGCGTAACAAGTTTCAAGTGAATTTGGTACATTTTTCAAAATTTTGCCGCCATATTGGATCCGCCATTTTGAATTTTGAAAAACTGACATTGGATTCGTAATCAGTGACCCCGAAAACCCCCGAGTAAAAAGTTTTAAGTGAATTTGGTGAATTCTTCAAAAAAATTTCCGTCATATTGGAACCGCCATTTTGAATTTTGAAAAATTGCCATTGAATTTGCATTCAGCGGTCCCGAAAACGCTAATTTTAGATTCAGTGAGAGTTTATAAAAATTCAAAATGGCAAACTCAATATGGCGTTCAAAAGTATTTAAAAAATCACTCAAATTCGTTGAAAATTGATAATCGGGGGTTTTCGAGGTCGCTGATTACGAATCAAATGTCAGTTTTTCAAAATTCAAAATGGCGGATCCAATATGACGGCAACATTTTTAAAAATTTACCGAATTCACTTGTAACTTGTTACTCGGGGGTTTTCGTGGTCGCTGATGACGAATTTAATGTCAGTTTTTCAATATTCAAAATGGCGGTTCCAATATGGCGGAGTATTTTTTTGAAAAATTCACCAAATTCACTTGAAACTTGTTACTCGGGGGTTTTCGGGGTCGCTGATTACAAATCTGATGTCAGTTTTTGAAAATTCAAAATGGCGGATCCAATATGGCTGAAAAATTTTGAAAAATTTATTGAATTCATTTGAAATTTGTTACTCGGGGGTTTTTGAGGTCGCTGATTACGAATCCGATGTCAGTTTTTCAAAGTTCAAAATGGCGGATCCAATATGGCGGAAATTTTTTTGTGAATTCATCAGATTTGTCTCAAACTTTGTTACTCGGGGGGTTTTCGGGGTCGCTGAATACGAATTCAATGTTAATTTTTCAAAATTCAAAATGGCTGATCCAAAATGGCGTTCGAAAAAATTTAAAAATTACTCAAATTCGTTTAAAAATCGTTATTCGGTGGTTTTTGGGGGTGCTGATTACGAATTTGAGGTCGGATTTTTAAAAATCAAAATGGCGGATCCAATATGGTGGATTTTTTTTTCAAAAATCGTCAAATATTCTTAAAACTTATCACTCGGGTGTTTTTGGTGTAGCTGATTACGAATTTGACATTAGATTTTGGATTTAATTATAGTTTAATACTCCAAGTAACAAGTTTTAAGTAAATTTGATGAATTTTTTTTTTTTTTTTTGTATAAAATCTTTGATTTTTTTTTTAAATTTTTGAACATCTTATATCAAAGACATAAAATAAAATAGATTTAAATTTTAATAATTAAAAAAAAAAGGTGTATTAATTTTTGAATAAAATACAATAATCTTGTTACCTGAACAAAAATCATTGGTATTGCCAAAATGAATGATGCACACCAGACAAAAATGACAATTTTTCTTGCTTGACTTATGGTGCATATGTACTGAGCCCTCATTGGATGAACTATGGCATAATATCTGAAATAAAAATAAAAAATTTTCTGTTTTAATTTTTGAAAAAAATATATATATATATATTTTTTTTTATTAAAATCATTTTTTTATTGAATTAAAAAAAAATTATAAATTGTTTATTTAATTTTCAAAGTTTTCTATTAAAGAAAAATTAATAAATTATGGAATTTTTTAAAGGTTTTTTTTTTTATTAAATTCAATAAAATAAAAAAAAATTCAATTTTTATTAAATTTTTGAAGTTTTTTTTATTAAAATAAAAAAAAATCTGTTATTTAATTTAAAAAAAAAAGGAAAATTTCTACAAATAAAATAAAAGATTAAACAGATTTCTTCTAGAAGAACAACTTTTATAAATGTGAAATTATTCCTGACAAGTGAAAAATATCCGAAAAGTTTGTTATTTTTTTTTTCCATCAAGGAAAAGTTTTGAAATGAGATTTTTAAGGATTACGTTTCTTCATCTTTTTCTTCTTCTTCTTTTTTCTCTTTCTAATTCTAAATTTTTTTTTTTTTTTTTTTTGAACCGATGACAGCTCGACGGACAAAAAAAGAAAGAAGGTTGGAAGCAAAAAAAAAAAAAAGGAATTTTTTTCTTGCATATACTTTTTTCTCACCCACGAGAATCGTAAATACCTCAAAAGAAGAAGAAGAAGAAGAAGAAAAAAAAGAATTGTGTAAATATGTATTTTTTTTAGTTCAGAAAAAAAACTCTCTCATATGTAATTTCTTATATTCCCTTATCGAAGTGATTTACTATTAATTTATTTTTTGTTTTTATTATATTTATTATATTTTTATTTTCTTATTTTTCTTTTTTTAAAAGAGAATAAAACTGAGAAAATCGACATAATATGATTTTTCATCAAAGACGAAAGTAAAAGAAGAATTCACGAGAATTTATCAAAGAGAAATGATTCGCGCGCTTAAATAGAGAATGCGAAGAAATTTAATTTTTAATACAAAAAAAAATATATATATATATATATCTTCTACGCCCAGCTGAATATTGGTTCAAAAATTAAATTTTTTTTTTTTTTTGAACCTTTAAGAAAGCGGTATTTGATATTATTTTTATATCTTTCTTTATTATTATTATTATTACTATTATTTTTTACTAGTTTAGGTTAGGTTGGTTTCTCTTGACATGGAATGACCCATATATCTACCTATATTAGTATTAAAACGAAAATAACCTCAAAATTCAAGGTCCTAGGTAGTTACGATACAAGGTCAGAGGTCAGACATAACCTCAAAATTCAAGGGTATAGGTTTCCAGGATTCTAGGCCTTAGTGCAAACATAACCTCAAAATTTAGGTAAAAATTTTAATAATTATAATAAGAATATATAATAATAATAATAATAAAAATAATAATAAAAATAATAGTAATAATAATAATAATAATAAAAAATAATAAAAATAATAGTAATAATAATAATAATTATAATAATAATAAAAATAATAATAATAATAGTAATAATAATAATAGTGAAGACATAATTTTTTAAAAATGAAAATAATGAGCCAATAAAAATGACCAAAAAATGATTAATTGAAAATAAATGTGAAAAGTGGGAGTTTGATCGATGAATGAAACTTTTAAATCAGTTTTCTTTCTCGCGAAAAAAATTTTTTTTTTCTTTTTCTTTTTTTTTCAAATAAGCCACATTTATTCTTCTCGTTATATTCTCTTTTACTTTCTTTCTTTCTTTTTTTTATTTTCCTTCAGTATAACTTATGATTTATTCCACAAGTATTTGAGAGCAAATAAAATTTCTATTATGATAAATATTTCCAAAAATAAACCCCCCCCCAAAAAAAAATAATATTAAAAAATATATATATTTAACAAAAATAAATAAAATAAAAAAATAAATTTTTTTTTTTAAATTTAATAAACAAAAAAATTAATTTTAGACAATATAAAACTATATACAAATTTTTTTGCATTGTAAATAAATATAATAATAATAATAATAATAATAATAATAATAATATATGAGAATATATGAGAATATAAAAAAAATAATAAACAGAAATAAATATATGCATAATTTTCTTTGGATCAAAAATTGTAAGATAAATTATAGAATAATAATGAAATGAAAAATAGTTTGAAAGATAATTTTTTTTTTTCGTTTTATCAATGTAATTACAAATGCGGTAAGAATTTAAGTTTCAAAAGCCAATTTATATATAGAAGTTTTACAGAGTGAAAGAGAGGGAGAGAGAGAGAGAGAGAGTTTTCTCCGTATAACTCGTAGTTTTCTTGCGTGACATTAAGAAAGGCGAAGTGTACCTTAATCGCGATCTAGAAAGTAAACTCATGACTTCTATTTACGAAGACCACAACTGACTTGGTGGTTTTAAAGCTTTCAAATGCAAGCTTCATGTTGGAACTAAAGCAAATTCTCATTTAACGCAAATCAAATAATGTTTCTCTCTCTCTCCCTCACTCACTCACTCACTCACTCTCTGCCTATTAAAAAAAATCTACATTAAAATGAAATTTATTTTGTCTCATATTTCTCTCTTTTTTTTTTAATCATTAACGTACAATAAATATCGAAAAAATATTTTTATGAAAAATAAATTAACTTCTCAAAAGTTTAATAAAAAAAAATGAAAAATTACAAACAAGATTTCTTATCTCGATTAAGTACCTGCAGTCGGTAATACAGATTTCTACTTTACCAACAGTCGGTAAGGTAGGAATCTTACAGATATTCCGATTTGATCGATAGGGTTAAAAACTGTTTTACCGACCTCAATATAAATATATAAATATCGAAAAAATATTTTATGAAAAATAATTAACTTCTCAAAAGATTAATGAAAAAAGAAAAATTACAAACAAGATTTCTCATTTCGATTAAGTACCTGCAGTCGGTAATACAGATTTCTAATTTACCAACAGTCGGTAAGGTAGGAATCTTACAGATATTCCGTTTTGATTGATAAGGTTAAAAACTGTTTTACCGACCTCAATATGTTTCACTGACCGAACATAATAATAATAATAATTATTATTATTAATTATATAATTATTATTGTTATGTAAAAATTTGTAGCCATGATTTCCCATCTCGATTAAGTACCTGCGGTCGGTAATACAGATTTCTACTTTACCAACAGTCGGTAAGGTAGGAATCTTACAGATATTCTAATTTGATCGATAAGGTTAGAAACTGCTTTACCGACCTCAATATAAATATATAAATATCGAAAAAATATTTTATGAAAAATAATTATCTTCTCAAAAAAAGATTAATGAAAAAAGAAAAATTACAAACAAGATTTCTCATCTCGATTAAGTACCTGCAGTCGGTAATACAGATTTCTAATTTACAAACAGTCGGTAAGGTAGGAATCTTACAGAAATTCCAATTTGATTGATAAGGTTAATAACTGTTTTACCGTCCTCAATATGTTTCACTGACCGAACATAATAATAATAATTATTATTATTATTATTATTATTATTATTAACTATATAATTATTATTGTTATGTAAAAATTCGTAGCCCTTTCAAAATATTTAAAAGAAATATTTTTGGCAAAAAGAATAAAAAATGAATGATATAAGTTTTAGAAAAACTATAGTAAAAAAGGGTGCAAAAAAAGTATGTAGTAAAAGAGAAAAAAAAAGAAACAGGATTTATGATAACTTGCCATAGTGAATTTTGATTTAATATATAAAAAGAATTTACCTCTCAACGGACATGGCTGTGAGGGTCAATACTGAGCATATTGCAGAAACACTTTGCATGTAATGCACTGCTTTGCATAAGAAAAGACCCATTTCCCAAGTGAAAGAGAACAGCTTTGCTATCTAGAACAGGAAACATAATTTTCTCATCAAAAATTTGGTTTAGATTTTAGACAGAATTTTTTTTTTTCATTTTGCAAAAAAAAAAAATTGTTTCTTTTATTAGTTTTTTTTTTTATTTTAGAATTTTCTTTTTGAGACAATTTAAAAAAAAATTTTTTTTATTTAATTTAAAAAAAATGATTTTTTGTACTAAAAAATTTATTTGCACCTAAGCAACCTTTTTTTGTAGTTAATAAAATTTTATTTCAATCAATAAAATTTTTTTTTTTTAAAAAAAAAAAAAAAGAAAATTGTTCTAAAATGTCTTTTTGATCTTTTTACAAGACTCATTGTCTCTCATTGATACTAAAAAACAGAAATGTTGTTTTAAAGTTTTTTTTTTACTATTTTTTTTTTTAGTTGTCATTACTTTTCAGTTTCTGACATTTTTCACGTCTCAAGAAAAAGTAATAAAAACTTACTATCACCTTTAAAGGGTTCCCATTTCACGGACGTTTCTTAAATTTTCAAACAAAAATAAATTGTAATCTACTCTTTTTCTTCTGTAACAATATCTTTAAACAACCACTTTTTTTTCTCTTGAACCATAAAAATATCATGACCAAAAGGACATTTTCAGCGAGAAAACGAATGAAAAATTATATAGTGTAGAATTTATTAGCCATTACTTTTTTTTTTTTTTTTTGATAAAATGTCACTTTGAATAGAACTGTAATATTTCTTCAATATCTAATAATAATAATAATAATGATAATAATAATAAAAATCGAAAATTTGAATTTCTAAATTCATATATCTCTAAAATTCTCGAGTCATTTTCTTTTGTTATGTAAATCCTTTTTGCACGCGAGAAAAACTTCTTGAGTTTATCATCATTTTTATTTGAAACGAGAGAGAGAGAGAGAGAGAGAAATTTCGTGGAAAATTTATTTCACTTGTTTTCTGCTGCATTTTCCTAGAGAGTTATTAGTATTTTTTTTCATTAAAAGAATATCAAGCAGGGTTAATTTTTTAATTTTCTTTTTTTCTATACCTTATATTTAGAAAATGAGATATATTAATAAGTAATTTGATAAAGTAAATATAAAAAATTTTAACCCACATAAAAAAAGCTAAAGAATTTTCATTATTATTTATTATTATTATTATTATTATTTTTATTATTATTTTTTTATTATTATTTATTTTTCATTTAATTATTTTTAAGCCGAATTTTTATTTATTCGAATTAATATTTTGCAAGAATGTTCATTTGTTCGAATTATTATTTGATATAATTTCCATAAAACCGGATTTTCTGCACAATTTTTACTTAACTGAAAAATAAAATTATCAACAAATTAAAAATTATTCCAAAAATTGTGATTGGTTGATTTTAAAAATCGCGCCAAAATCGATTGTTATTTCGGTCATTTGAAATTTTGGACTAATAAAAATTCTATCAATTAGAAATTCTGGTAAATAATTTTTTAGAAATTATTTTTATTATTATTATTATTATTATTTAAAATTAATTATTGTATAATAATTTTTGAAATATTTTTTAAAATTAATAATATTTGTAAAATAATTTTTGAAATTTGTTTTCCACGAATGTTTTTTTTTTAAGCTCTGTTTAATGTAAAATACAGTAAATTATATAGAAAATTTATCTCAATACATGAATGAAACAAGAAATTGCCAAGAATATTGACTGGTAAGCACAGTAACTGATGTAAATTTCGCATATATGCATAAGCACGAATATGCATAAAGAGAAGTTTAAATGCTTTTTAGTGGATGTTGCTGAAGACTTTGAGGTCGACAGAATAATTTAAATGCTAACCACATAAGTAAAATCAGAAAAAAAAATATTTTTTTTTTATGTCAAAAATTCAGAGTTCACTCAACAATTTTTTTATTCTTTTAAGAAAATTTAAAAAAAAAATATTGTCCTCACGTTTTGATTCATAAATGAATTTTCCCCATAAGGAATTTTAGAAAAAACAAATTAATAACATAAAAATTCAACCGAAAATATAAATGAAAAATTTAAAAACAAAATTTTTTTTTTTATTTAATTTTCTTCTACTGATCATAAAACTGATTTTTTTTTATTTTTTACAGAATAATTTTTTTGATGTATAATTAAATTTAAAAAAAAAATAATTTTAGAAAAATAAAAAATTTTAAATTTACTGCAAAATTAAAAAATATTTACTCCTTTTTACAATTTTCTTCTACAGGTCATAAAACTGATTTTTTTTTCTTTCTAATAGGATAATTAATTTCAATTCTAATAGAAAAGTTTACTAAAAATAGAATTTTAGAAAAAAAAATTAAAAATTCACTAAGAAAAATAAATTAAAAATGATTTTGGTTTTTTTTTACAATTTTCTTCTACTATTCACAAAACTGCTTTTTTTATGTCTGATAGGATAATTAATTTGATTTTAAAATAGAATTTTATTAAAGAAATATAATTTTAAAAAACTAAAAAAAAAATTAAATTCACCAAGAAAAAAAACAAATTAAAAATGAAATAAAAAAAATTTGGTTTTATTTTATAATTTTCTTCTACTGATCATAAAACTGCTATTTTTTATTTTTTACAGAATAATTAATTTGATGTATAATTAAATTTAAAAAAAAAAATAATTTTAGAAAAATAAAAAATTTTAAATTTACTGCAAAATTAAAAAATATTTACTCCTTTTTACAATTTTCTTCTACAGGTCATAAAACTGATTTTTTTTTCTTTCTGATAGGATAATTAATTTGAATTCTAATAGAAAAGTTTACTAAAAATAAAATTTCAGAAAAAAATTAAAAATTCACTAAGAAAAACAAATTAAAAATGATTTTGGTTTTTTTTACAATTTTCTTCTACTATTCACAAAACTGCTTTTTTATGTCTGATAGGATAATTAATTTGATTTTAAAATAGAATTTTATTAAAGAAATATAATTTTAAAAAAACTAAAAAAAAATTAAATTCACCAAGAAAAAAACAAATTAAGAATGAAAAAAAAAAATTTGGTTTTATTTTATAATTTTCTTCTACTGATCATAAAACTGCTTTTTTTATTCTTTCAAAACAAATAAAAAATTATTTTCATTTTAACAATTTTCTTCTACTTATTATAAAACTGCTTTTTTCCCCACTTCCAAATGCCATAATTTTATATTTCCTCATATCAATAGAAAGAAAAAAAAAAATTTTTTTTTTAATCTTTTCCTACGAAATGTTCTTAAAACTTTTTTTTTTTTTTTTTACTGAAACTCTTCTTAACTTTACAATAGGGACAAAAAGGAACTTTTCTCATTATTCTGACGATATAAATATTTGCTGAAAAAATTTTTTTTTGATCTTTTCTTTTTGCGAGCAAAAACAAAAAAAAATGATGGGACAGAGAAGGAAGAAAGAAATAAAGCACTACTAGTGCTGTAAATGACAGAAGGGAGAAATTTTTTTTTCTCTCTTCGTAGAGAGAGAAAGAGAGAGAGAGAGGGTAGCATTAACGAGAGTCTCCGTGACCATAATTCATGTGACATGCAAATCCTTTCGATTTGGCAAACAACTTTCCAACCAAGTTGAATATTAATGAGAGACGAAGCTTGCAAACATGACTGCCAACAGCCCAGTGTAGAGTATATAGGTAACAATTTTAAGAGGATCAAGTGTCCCGAAAACGGATTTGACAAACACGTTTAAACGAACATGTTTAATTACATGCCATTAGAGAAAATTTTCTTTTTTTGCTTTCTTAGGTATAATATTTTTTTTAGTAGATGGTACATTTAATAATTTTTTTTTTAAATTTATTATAATTAAACTATAGTTTATTATAATTACATTAATTATTATTATACATTATATTATTATTTATTATAATTAAATTATTAGTTAAATTCACTAAATTTTTATTAATTTATTTTTAAATTAATATCAATATTATTTATTATAATTAAATTATTAGTTAAATTTACTATATTTTTATTAATTGAATTCACTAAATTTTTAATTTACTTAATTTTAAAAATTAATAAAACTTACAATTAAAGTTAAAAATTGACATAAATGTTGCCAATTTAATATACTTAATTTTTGTTAACTTCTATTTTCATCAATTTTAATTAAATTACTTTTAAATATTCTAATTAATTCCATTTTAGTAACGACAGAGAAAGAAGTGAATTATTATTTAAATAAATAGAAATTTTGTAAAAAAAAAAGGATTAAAACAATAATAATGAAGTATTTTAGTGTCAATTTGAAGGAGTTTAGAAAAAATAAAATTGAAAATCTTTATTGAGCTACCTAAACAAAATTTGAGAAGTGACTTGGGCCCCGGTAGTAGGTCAACTGAGACGCAGCAATCGAGCGCTGACTTAAATACCAGAACCACGAGGAGTGGGGGTATTAAAAATTTGTAGTAGGGCAGTACGTCACGTTCCACTGGCCAACGGTAACGCCTATGGACCCCCCACTACATTTAGTGCTCCCCCACTCCTCCCTGGCCAGATATATAAGACCCTGTTTCCTCGTTCACTTACCAGTCTGCTTCCTGTCAACGTTTCGAGACACGTCCCAATTTCTGCTCAACTTTTGTTTATTTAATCTATTCTTCAAATTAATAGAGAAATATTTTTTTTCTAATTTCAGATGATTCGTGACAGGATAAAAAGTGAGTTTTTATTTTATTATTATTTAAGCAAAATGATTTTTAATTTGTAATATAATCTTTGGTATACGTTATTTTCTCTTTCGATTTTAATTCAACATTTTTTGAATTTGAAAACTTAGTTATAAAAAATTATTAATGTATTGTAATTATATATATATATATATATTTCTAAATTATTTTATAATATATATATTACTTATGAATTAGAGGATTCCTCCCCCTCCCAATGAGCCCGTACATATATATGCATAAATATATAATTTACTAAAAAATTTAATAATTAATTTCGCGAAAAAATTAAATTTTTTTAATTTCTAATAAAATTAAATATTT